CAGACGGGCAGCGACACGGCCTCGCCGGGACCCAGGGCCTTGAGCCAGCTCAGCTTGACCACGCTGCCGACCTCCTCCGCCGCCGGCGCGCCAAAGGGCGGGTTCCACGCGGCAGGCAGCGCGTGCGGCAGCTTCGAAGACATCGAATCGTCGACCTCCGCGGCGGCGCTCGAGTCATCGCCGCCGATCAAGAAGAAGTGCGGATGCGAAATGCCCACGCTGATCCCCTCCAGCCCCATCTGTAGGGTGTGTCGTGTGTGTGTGTGGCGTGTGTGGCGCGTGTGGCGTGTGTCAACCGCACGCAGCTAACGATCGCGAATGAGCGGTGAGAGCGTACGTGTCCGATGTTCTTGAGGCGGAGCGTGAGAAGGGCGACCTCACCTTGCAGCATCTGCTCTGGAAAGTGCTCGAAGCTCGCCTGCCAACCCGGAGACATGCGTGGTGACGTCAGCACTTACTAAAATATAACACACACGCACACACACACACACAGCTCCCCTCTTGGGTGCGTACCTCGATGAGCGGCATGGCCCCGACCACGTGAATGGCGTTGTTGTCGGCCGGTGACGACGGCTCGCTGGCCGGAGGCGAAGCAGAAGAAGAGGCGGAGAGGGACGAGTAGCCGGCGCCCGCCGTAGACGAGTGCAGCTGCCCGCCGCCGCCGCCGCCGACGAAGCACTTGTGGAGGTTGATGAAGTTGGACTGGCCCCAGAGCATGCCGCACAGTTTGAACCCGATGCCCTCGATCACCAGCTGGCCCTCCACCAGGGGCACCACCCAGAACAGCAACTGTGCACGCATACCGCACATACCGCCGCGTGTGAGCGTTGGACGGACTGGAATGCGAAGCAGGCAGGTGGGATTCGCCATACCTTCTGCTTCTCCTGGGCGCGCAGGACGTGGTTGAAGGGCTCGACGAGGAACCTGGGCGAGTCCTCCCGCTCGTGTGCGGCGTCGGCGTCCACGGGCACGTGGGTGCACACCAGCTGGACGTCGGTCAGCTGGATGGGCACCTGGAGCGGATTCCGCACTTCCACCTCAATATAGATGTACTCTGCATTGCTCGCGAGTTAGGCCTCATAGGAACCACACGCACACGCACACGCACACACACGACACGACACGCACCACCGCACAACACGCGCGGCGGCGAAGGAGAGTACGTTACCTTGAATGACCGACACCGGTCGGGAGGACGGCAGCGAGGAGCGCGGGGCCGACACCTGCCTCAGCACTCGGCTCTGAAGCGAGTCCCAGAGCTTCTGCTCGCCGCCGCTGTCAATCAATGGCACACGACACGTTAGCCACACGTGCGCCGTGTCGTGCCGTGTTGCGTGTCGTGTGGCATCGTGGTGGTACCTGGAGGGGTCGTAGGAGGCCAGGAACAGACGGACCGACTGCTGGTCGATCACGGGCACGGGCAGACACGAGGCCACCAGCTCGGACGACGCGGCGCTCGTCTGGGCGATCTGGGCCGCCAGGTGGAGGAACTCGCGCAGCAGCGAGTTCTGCGCGGGCGGCGGCTGGTGGCAGTCGGAGAACAGCTTCTGGAAGAAGGCGAGGCACCGCTCGTGGTTGCCCACCAGGAACGAATAGCGGGCTAGCTTGATGTGCAGGCTGTCGCCAATACCGCCCCAACCTCGGTTCTGTGTGGCAAAGTGTGAGCGTTCAACACACACACACGCCACACACAGACACACACACACACACACAACACACACACAACACACACACAACACACAACCGCACACGCATCGCTGCACACGGGGGTTGGAAGGTACCTCGTAAAGGGAATATGCGGTGAGGAGGCAGCGGAGGCCATGCCGCAGCTGGCCCACCTCGCAAAACTTGCTGCCGGCGGCCACCAGCTCCAGCCCGAACTGTCGAAGGCCGGGCGTGGCCTGGTGCAGGAACTGGAAGGCCGATTGCTCGTGCAGCAGCGCCGCACACGTGTTGTCCGGGAGCGCCAGTGCCGTTCGCTGCGGAGAGAACACGAAACGAAACGACACGACACACGCAAACTGAGTTACCAAACACCGACGACGACGACGAGTCGGACAGACCTGCAGAGTGAGCGCAGCCTGACGAGGAGAGGAGGTGGAGAGCAGCTCGGCCAGGAACACGCTCGCTCGGACGGCGTGCGTCCAGTTCTCGGCGCGCCGGTAGCCGTCCA